TATTTGGATAATCTTATCCTTTTTTGAAGATTTTTATTTGTGGTCATTATAAGACGGATACTGAAGATAAAATATTTTTAGTACTGCTTCAAAATAATCGTATACGAGTAAATGAGCCGCAATTTTTGCATGTTTTGATAAAAAATTAAATTTATATATCACTTTATCGAAAAATCACAAAATTATAACTTTCTAGAGTAAGCAGGATTGAGTTCAGTAAATTCATGCATAAAAGTGGACTAACTTCATATACTTGGTCTTCCAACCTGACTTATGTATTCGAGGATAAACCATTTGTAAATTTCATGTGATATCTGCCTGTTGACTGCTAGGATGATTTTTGAAAAAGGATCATCTTCTCATAAAGCTTCTTCTTTCGATGAAAATAAGAGGTGTTTCATACTCAATTCTTAAGCCAAGTGAAGTAAGCACGTTCTACAGTGCTACACCCTTAGGGCAAATTTTCATTTGGTGGAGAAACTTCTCAATGGCTGTGTGAGGATAGGCGATGAGGGAAGCTATATTTCCGTAAATTTTGTACTTTCCTGTGGTACACTAATGGTATGTGACTAATAAATCATGAAAATTATTAGAATGACCATCACAAATGTGAGGCAATGGATCTTAATCTCATTTTTATCCCTTGTTTTATTTTGTCCTTAATATTCTCCTGTTGATTAACCTCTGTTTTTTTATGGCCTTCGTTTTCTCCCCCACCCTGTCTCTCATTTCATCTTTCCTATCTACTTCGGGTTCTTATTCGCAGACTATGGTGGTGGCTGGCTCTGCTTCAATGTCAGCATTATTGTGATCGGTTTACTAACAGCCATCATCGGTGATCTGGCCAGTGGTTTCGGCTGTTCGATCGGGCTCACGGACGCTGTGACTGCAATCACCTTTGTGGCCTTGGGCACTAGCTTACCCGGTATGCATGCCACACTAATTTATATAATTAAAATTTGACGATACCTGCTACTAAAATACTTGTTTAACAGGTGATCTAGTTTTAATATCGTCGAGGCTAAATAGGAATGTAGCTAGAGGATAGTGTTGAGATACCAGGAAACATAAAACATGACTAAATAAGGAAAGTTATTGGCCCAAATTGCTCATGGGGCATTTATTTTTATTTTTGTTTCAATGAATCTACATTTCTATCACCATTTCAACACCAATGGATTTAATGTTCATGAGCCCACATTTTCTGTTTAAAATTCAGACACATGGTCTGAATCCATTCGAGAAAGGAATTGAAGTAGCTCCAGCGTATGATTTATAGAAATAAATAATTTCTTTGCGTTCTTCATCGTGAGATTTTTGGCGATAGTGCTACAAATATTTTATGGGATAGCCTATCAAGCAATTATCTTCATTGGCTTGGAAATTGGTCCCTGTGTTTTTAAATATTAGTTTATTATTTGGGGTTAAACCAAGTTGCATGCATCAAAAAATATTTATTTGAAAGAATTTAGCGTCACTGACAAGTAGTCACTTTCGTTTTATTGCCTGGGACATGATTTTACTGACAGCAACCATTTTTTACACTTTTTCTATTTTTTAATGCATTAAAAAGCAATTTTTATGTCCTAGATACATATTTAAATTTGAATTCTTGACATTCACTATAGCAGCGTGTTGCTTCTTAATTGTGCACTTAATATACTAAGCCAATATAGTCACTATATTGACCCAATTTCTCCCTTAGCTTTGATTAAATATTCTTTAATTTTGTAGAGGCAATAAAGTAAACTCTTTGCGATAGTATGCGAAACTCTCCATAAACTTTGAAAGAATAAAGTAACCAAGGGATTTTAATTTAAAAAATCCTTAGTTGATTTAAATTGGCTAAACTTTATCATCGAGTACTTATTTACTGACAATTGACATTATTAGTATCATCGCACACTATAAGAAACCATCATGCATTCATTATTCCTAAAAACGACAAGCATTTCTGAGTAAAATTATTTTGTTTCACTTGATTTTAGTTATTGGGAAGCAAGTATAGCGTGAATCACTAGGCTGTCTGAATACTATAGTCCAGTGGTTGTTAGCACGAATCTTTAATTAACAAACTATAGTGCTCTTCGAAGTCCCAGATCTATTCGTATTTAGCTAGAATTTTTTTCTATAGTCTTTAGAGATTAATTAGCGAATTGCTTCTTGGTGTAAATATGGAATGGGAACTCTGAAGTGAAGCCGTCTAATGCATTATTTTCACAGTTATATAAATCTATTTATGACGCCCGTTGAGGTCTCAATGGATTGCCCAATTGTGTCATTGGAATACCAAAAAGGTCTCGTACCATAGTTGTCTTAAAAGCTATTGGAAGGATGTATGTACTCAAGCTAGTTCATTGATCAAGTGATTAGATCGTCGTAAGGGAAGATTGAAGAAGACGGAGGGGGCAGAGATGCTGACGTGATTGGATCAAGATTTTTTGGACGTTAGATTGGCTGATTTCCAGAGAAAAGGTATAAGTAGGATGAATGCAAAGAGAGTTTGTGTTTGTATGTGTTGCTAGATGGTATCGAGATGTGCTAGATTTTGTGTAATTTGATCGGCGATCACGCCTGGCATATATTGGTGGGAAACTGGCTTCGGTAAAAGCTCTTTGGAAATTCGTGAAAAGTTCTTGCAGGTTTCTAATTACTAGAGAGAAATATTTCAAGAGAAGCCCCATAATGCAGTTTGGCAAGGTCTGTCAAAGCATATGATCCGCTTATAAGGACGTCAAATGTTTTCAAATGTTACGGAACTTTGAGTTAATTCGTCAAAAATAACTCCAACTGGCTTACAATATGTCAGATCACTTTTCCTTCTCTGCATTAATTGTTGGTATTCTAACTTTGATGGATTTGCAGCATCGGATCGTTGATCTGGTACATTACCCGACGTTTCGCCGGTACCTTTAGTGAGAGGCGACATCGCTATCACAGAGTTACAACTTTCTAGAGTGACAAGTGAAGTCCCTTTGACCAATTTTCTGTTCAGCCGTGGTGGCATCATTCTTCTCACCTATTTTGGTCCTATCGTCTAGTGATATTTTTCCTTCTCTTATTCCCACTTTAGAAAATATCCAGGGAGATTGCCTTCACTTGTCACTTTGTTACATTGTGATTCTATGCTAAGGATGCCCATTACAATGCCAGCGAAACGTCTAGCAATGCACCAAGTCACCAGTTCGATGCTGGAAATCATCATCAAACTATGGCAGAGGACGTTCCACAAGGTCTCTCTGTCTCTCCGACCAAGTTGGGAAAACGAAATCAAGCCAACACTAGACAGCTAAAGGGGACTGCGACCAAGCACAAGGCCACACCATCTTGGTCCTCATATCTACGAAGTGATACTTTAGGATTCCTGGAGCACTTGTCACATTTTACCGCATAGTTATAGTTTTCTTGAACCAAGCAAAAAATAAATGGCTAACAACACTGAAAAGCAAGCTTTCTGACTTAAGAATTCTTGATAGAAGCGACCTAGTAAAGTCATATAGCCGAGCATAGCACACGAATTGAATAAACATCCTTTTTTGCTACTTTTATACACTGGGGTCTCCGTTTATTACATTCTTAACTTTGACTTTGGTTAAAAATAGGTATTTCTTACAGGCAAAATGGGTACTGCAAACAACGATTCTCCATTGCTTGTCCTTGAAATTTCGGTTTTTTTAAAAAGGCATGCCCTCTCTTTATACTTTTAAGGTTCCAATAAGGCTGACAGCGAAATTAATTTTTTTTAAATAACGATGGGTACTTTAATTCGGCATTAGTGGTAAAAAGCTTGATAGTTAAGTTTGTCAAAGTCATATGACTAAAAGGTCCCACTATGCCATTTAATTTCATTAAAAATCATCCTTTCTGTAGTCAAGAGAAACCCAGACTTAATGGTTTAGTGGAAACTTGTTGCCACTTGACTCGCACGATGCATACACATCCTGCTGAGTGAGCGTATCAGACCAAGATGAGTTAATAGCCGCAATCCAGTCTGTAGAAGGAGGTCTTTCGGAAGACTAGGCTCACTAAAGTTAGCGTGATTCTGAGGTCTTCTACTCATTTCATTTTACTGATTTGGCCATCATTATATTTATAACCCAATATGACCTACTATGAATATTTATTTACGATCTAACTTGGCGTTTTCAAGCCCTAATCAATTTGTCCCAACTATGTGTAACCTCAAAGCCGGCAGGATGTTTAGGATCTTTTTGGAGACGAAGGGTGGACTTACTCCCTTGCTTACATGAAGATAGCATATGGCCATTAGTTGTAAAACTGTTTAAAAAATATTTGTTGATATTTTTATTTCCTCAACTAATTTGGTTCTAGGGATCCTCCACATATAGCGTGATATATTCCATCTTGTACCTATATTTCGTAAGTCAACACCATCTTATTCCAAGCACTTCATCCAGTACCGTTACAGATTTAAGGCAGATGGTGACAATGATCGACTGCTTTAAAGTATTGTTAGAGGGACATTCATTTCGTATGAAAGTACATGAAGAAGAGATTCGTTGGTCGATCTCACCAGATGAGGACGGATGA